TTTTGAAAAGAAATAATTCTCAAAAGTTTGTAAGACAATTTTCAGTATTAGTTGTTAAGAAAGTTAACAAAAAAGGTCTATTTGCCCCTGAGAATGGACATTTTCACTTGAATGCTTTGCCCCAGACTACTAAGATAAAAGTAAATAAACACATGCATATTATTAATAGACTTACAAAATTATCAGGCACCAATAGATTGTTGTCAGGTAGACCACCAATGTAAATATTGTGTCCTATATTCATCTTCTTTGGGCCTTTCCTTCTCTCTGGTGGATCACTGTCCACGGACAGAGTCAAAATCCGTCCATCTTTTTTCAGCCTCACCTATTTTGGGGAAGTTGGTTGATATGAAATGCAAAAGAATATGTGTGATTTTCATTTGGGCGGGAGGGGTGGGGACTTACCGTGTGCCAACTGCCGTCATTGTAAGTGTTCGGGAGGGATACCTCGAGCTTGTTGCGGCCCTTGTACACCACCTGCAGGATGCCGTCCAGGAGGTAAGCGGCGAGGTACTGGCGTTGCTTGCCACCACCGTTGCCACCCCCGGGAACGAGGTACAGCATCCCAGAGGGGTAGAACGTCCTGAACTGCAGGTCGACAACGAAGTCCCGTTGCAGCAAGTTTCTGCGGCGGAAGGTCACGAGGACGTGCGAGTTAGGTCGGTCCCCGAACTTTGCAGCATCCTGCTCGAACGAGTAGGTGGAAAGCCTCCGACAGCCGCCGCCCTGCTCGGGCTCGTGCGGTGCTGGAGGCGACCAAGACGAGCTCGGAGGAGAGGACGGAGGGGCAGGCACCATGGGGGACGTGCCAACAGCCAGGGTGGCGTCAGACACAGGCCCGACAGGACCCAGGCGGCCGATAGCAGCACGGTCGAACGACACTGGGTGGTCCATGGAGAGCAGCCTGTAAAGCGAAGGGGAGGGAAAGCTCTGAGCAGGAAATGTGGGGCAGAAAGTGGAGGGGAGGGGGGGGGAGGGAAGACTCACTCGTCATTGAAGATGGCGTCTTTGATGGTGCCGATGAGGGGCATGGTTGTGGCCAGCAGGTCCGAAACGTTTAACGAGGGCGGCACTCCGCCGAAAAACAAGCCTCCGATGTCACCGGGAGCTTTGACGGCAGCGGCGCCCTCCGGCAGCGTCGCCGAGGACTGCAGGACGTCGTCGACGCGAAGCTCGAGCCGCCTGCCAATCTTGGTCACCGACACGGAATGCAGGCGGCCGTCGTTGAGCGCCTCGGGTGGCCCGGCGGCAGCATCTTGGGGTCCGGGCGGGCTGAGGCTGGACGGCAGCACTACGGTGCCGCGCCCGGCGTCCACGCGCACCTCGAGGCGGCCGTTCCACAGGGCGCACGAGTAGTAGCTGTTGTTGTCCTGCGGGTAGAGAGGAGAAAGAGCACTAGGTGATGACAGTGCGCATGATGTGGTGAGGAAGGGCACTCTCCAGCACCGCACTCACCTCCAGCTCGATGAAGTTTGTGTTCTCCTCCGCGACCTCAGCGCTGGTCACACTACCAGGACGCTGGAAGGTGGAGAGCATGAGCATAGTGTCGGGTTGCAGGGTGGCGAACGCAAACCCGAAAGAAGACTTCTTCCTCAGCGAGTGGGAGGGCAGTTCCAAGAAGCCGTCACCCCCGAAGCTTGCTGACCGGAGTGGCTTGTCCACACAAGAGGCCTCCACGCCATAGAACTGGCCTCGCATCGGGTTGTAGCCCTCCTGGGCCACCTGGATCATGGACATGCACCCCAAGAAAGACACGGGCTTGTCGAAGGGTCCCACGGCCGTGAATCCCGGGGGCACGCCTCCGATGTAGTACACGGCACTGGACATGTCGGGGAGGGAGTCGGCCTTGACGGGCATCGACGGTGACCCGTTGCGAGCCTCGCTGTCCACTTTCAGCAGACCTTTCTCCAGCTTGCGGTTGCGGTCGAAGTATCTACATCACATAGACAGTAATATGAATGATGAGTTTGGAGAGGACAAAGGGGGTGGGAAACCTGCGACAGAAACGGCTCGGGTACCTGCTGGCCTCGACGTGCGTCCAATTGCCCGTGTTGTACTTGGCCGCGGTGGTGATCTCAAGGAAGCTGCCGCCTTGGCCACCGTAGCCGATTCGGAAACGGACCCTGCCCTGATGCAGCGCCATAGACACGTAGCCCCGCTGGTCTTCGGCCACGGCCAGGAACAGCAGCGCGTTCTCATCGAACGACCGGAAGTTGAGCGACACGCTGAAGAAGTACTTGTTGTAGGGGCTGGCACTCGTGTGGCGCAGTTCGGAGTAGCCGTCGCCGCGGAAGTTGTAGCTCTGATCGTCGTGCTCCTGGCCGACCCTGAAAGACGAATCAATCGGTTAGTAACAACACAGTTAGGAGCTGACAGCTGAGAACCAGTGAGTCAGCGCTCTTACCCTTGCTTGCAGGCCCCGCAGCTCCCGGACGAGGTCCTGAAGTTCCACAGCCCGATGGGCCGGCCGTCAAGCTCGAGCGAGTGCACGCAGCCTCCGAGGCCCGCGCGGCCGCCGTCACTGCCGGCCCCGCCCACCCAGGCCACGCCGCCAGGGTCCAGCCGGCCGAAGCCCGCCGCCGTGGCGTTGAACACGACCTTGGGAGGCGCGGCTCCGTCCGGCCGCGCGTCCTCGGACACAGAGAGGTGACCGATGTTGCCCGTCCGCTCGGCCACCACGCGGTACCAGACCTCCTCGTCGCGGCTCTCCGTCTGGCCCACGCCGGGCGGCAACTCTCGGGGCGCGCGCAGCTGCAACGGCGACGTCACGGCTCCCGGGCCGCCGCCCACGTCCCAGGACAGACGCACCCGCCGCTCCACCATGTCCAGGGCGATGAAGTCGTCCTGCGGAGCAACGGAAAGATGAGTTGATGGAGGATATGAGCTCGTGGCCACCTTCGCGATGCTCGCGCTGAACTCACCGTTGTAGTGCCGGGCAGGTAGAAGATGGGGGCAGAGCGCGCCTTGCCCGTCACAGCGTAGAACAGGGTGAGGGTGTTGGTGGTGCTCGGCCCGATCTGGGGCAGCGCGTAAGAGCGGGAGCAGCCCTCCGCAGCTTGCTTGGGTGTCTTCAGGGACAGTCTGATCTGGAGGACAGAAGCGGCAAGTACGTCATTAGACAGCTGGACGCCGTAGACCACTGACAAAGCGCTTTCGCAACAAGGAGTCTCAATTCACTTACGCCTTCCGCAGCGTGCCTTGCACGGGTGATTTTGTCCCGGAGGGCCTGGAGCTTGTCTGCGACGGAGTCGTTCCAGCGCTGGAACTCTCTTTGCTGTTCCACCGATTCCTCCTCCGCCGTCTGGAGCGTGTCGTTGACGCGCACTATAACCTCTCGCAGCTCCTTGACTGTAACGTGGAAACAAATTAAAGGAAACTCTCACTTGTCGAGCATCCAGCGGGGCTGGCTGCACACGCACCTTGTCGCTCCGTGGCGCCGAGGCCGAGGCCTACTCCCTGGCCGTCCTGCTCGCCGTCCGAGGCCACTCGGCCCAGCAGGGGTCTGAGGGCGGTGGAGACGTTGACGAGCACCTCGCTGGCGTGCTGTCTCATGTGCAGGGCGGCGCGCTGCTCGTCCAGCATGTCGTCCAGGACGCGCTGCGCCACCCCGCGCTCCGCGCCCAGCTGGCCCTCCAGCTGCTGCAGCTGCTGCAGCGGCCGGTGATTGTCGTTGTTTCGCCTCCCGGCCAAAATGATGGTCTCCCGGAGCCTGTCCACGACGCCCTCGTGCTCGGCGAGGTGCTGCCGTAGCCGGCTCACCCGCCGGGCCTGCTCGTGCGCTGTTCCCTGCAGACGGTGCGAGTCCTGCAGCACGAGGCTGCTCTGGTCCAGCAGAGAGTCCAGGTGCTTAGGGTAGGCCTGGCGGTGCGCCGACTCGGCGGCCAGGCTGGCGTTGAGCGCGCCGTGCAGCGCGTCCCGGATCGACTCGGCAATGTTGCGGTAGGCGGCGCTGGCCTGCAGGGCGTGCTCGGCGTCGTGCTTGGTGCCGGAGAACAGCCTCTCGTACATGTCGGCCGTATGGCGCAGCATGTTGGCGCGGTCGCGGGCGATGATGAAGTAGTGCGCCAGGTCGGGCCGGCTCTCGGCGCGCACGCGCTGTGCCAGGACGGCCGTCAGGTTGGACAGCCGCGCCTGCTGGCGCCGCACCCCGGACAGGTTGGTCTGCGCCGCGCTAAGCGCCGCGTCCGCCGCGTTCAGCGTGTCCGCGTTGGCCGTGATCATGGCCACGAGGGAGGACTCCTCGCTGGACAGCCACGCCACACGCGTCACCAGCTCCTTGAGCTTGCGCCTGTTCTTGTTCGTGAAGCGGTGGTCAACCTGCGTGAGGAAGGAGGGAGGGATAGAGAGAACACGGCGTATGCGGTGCTGATCCACGGGCTCCTCTAGACACTTACGTGGCTGGCGTTGCCGCTGCTGTTGACGAGCGTGTCGTTCAGGTCGCGGAGGCCCTCCTGCAGCCGGTACACCCGCCGACGCAAGTCGTCCAGGCGGCGAACGTCGTCAAAGTCCAGCAGCTTCACCAGGTCGTCGTGAATCTCGTCGCACTTCTTGAAGTTGTTGTACGTGTGCGTGGCGCGCGGCTCGAGGTACGTCATGGCCGCCACGATCGAGTCGAGGATGTACTGCGCGTCGGCCAGGGCGCTGCCGGATGAGACTTGGGGCGCGGGGCCGGCCGCGTACACCCTCAGGCTGGCCACCGTGTCTGTAAAAGAAAACCAACACGTCATTTAACGGTCGAGGCTGACAGTGTTGCTGGCAACAAGTAGAAGGCTCGGCCGCTCGCTCACCCTGTATCTGCTTCCTGGCGCGCTCGATGTCGTCGAAGACGTTCTCCACGCCCTGGTGAAGGCGCAGCGAGTTGAGCCCCATCTCGGCACTCGCGTGCTCCACCTTCTTGGCCTCCTTGACGGCCTGGTTGGCGGGCTTGCGCAGGGTGGTGACTATCGTGCCGGGGATCTGGTTGGCCCTCGCCGCGAGCTCGTCCCACGTGCGGACCCGCTCCCTCGCCTGCTTGGCCTGCCCGTGAATGCCCTCGAGGACGGACCACGGCGCCTCCAGGATGCCGTCGGCAGCCTTCTTGGCGCCGACCTCCAGGTCGAACGCGAGGTCCTCGAGGCCGCGCAGCAGCTCGCCGGTGCAGGCGTCCTCGCACGTGGTGCAGGAGCCCCTCGCCGTAAGCACCTGGCGCAGCGGGCATACGCTGCACCTCAGGCCGGAGACACCTGCGGAAACGAAAGGACACACAACTCGTCATGCGCTCTCTGTTCGAGACGTAAGGACCTCTACCACCAGAGCCTTCCTCTTACCCGGAAGGCACTCGCACTGGCCGCGGGCGTCGCAATAGTCGCCCACGCTGCCGAGGGGGTCGCAGAGGCAGGGTTGGCACACACCACCGGGCTGGCCGAACCACCCCGGCGCGCAGCGGTCGCACCGAGGCCCCGTGTAGCCCTCGCGGCAGTAGCACACGGCCGCCACGCCATCCACCACCTCGCACTTGTTGGCGAAGTTGCGGTGCTCGGTGGGGCACGGACAGGCGCGGCAGCCCGCCGGCCCGTCGGGGTCGCCGTAGTGTCCCTCGGCGCAGCGCTCGCACGCCGCGCCTCCCGTGTTGGCCGAGCAGTTCTGTGGGGAAATTGACAAGTTTTCAACAGAGTCCAAGGAGGAAGACAGTAAACCGTATTGTCGTTTCTACGCGATGCGCTCAGGAAATATTTTAACAATTCATGAAATCCATCTGAGTTTACTTGAATGACAATGGACATGAATGACAGGTAATATAATAGAATCACGCACAGATAGATTCGAACAAATTCACGCGCCAACGCCGTACTCACCCTGCAGTGGCCCGTCTCCACGTCGCAGACGCTCGACCGGCCGTTGCACTGGCACGGCCGCGCCTCGCCCACCATCTGGATGACGATTGTCGAGTGCACGGCGGAGCGGTCGTGCCACCGGAAGAAGCCGATGCTGGGGTCCTGGCAGGAGGAGGAGCTGTACTGCCGCGGGCACTCGCACAGCTCCACGCCGCGCGCAGGGGGCGCGCGGCCGCCCTCCAGCGCCTGCGCCGTGTCCAGCGAGATGCCTCGCAGCCTGGGCGACAGACGGTTCGTGTCAAAAATGCGCGCAGAGCATGCTGTTGACGTGCGAGACGATGTTGGTAAGGTACTCACACTGCCTTCGTGAAGTCGATCGAGTCCGTGGCGCGAATGAGGACGTGCTGCACATTCTGGAGCGCCAGCATGAGCATCTCCCGGCTCACCTTGCTGGTGGCGTTGTTCTTGGCGCGCCACAGCGAGTGGTGCAGTCGGATCTCGTAGTGGCCGTCCCGGCTGGGCTTGCCCGGGAAGTGCTCCAGCACGAAGCGGTTGTTGCCCTGCAGCTGGACGAGCGGGTAGGAGTCCAGGACCTCGGGCGGGAACAGCGTGCTGCCGCCCTCCGCCTCCACGCTGAAGCGCAGGAAGCCGCCGAATGACAGCACCTAAAGGGGCAAGGCCTGAGTGAGGTTGTCGGGGCGAGTGGTGCGGGCGCCGGGAGCTAGGCCGCGCCGCACGGCAGGCGGGCACCACGGGTCTGCCTACCCCGCCAGGGGCTCTGGCCGAGGACTCACCCTGTCGCCGAGGAACTGTCTCGGCAGCTGCCAGTAGACGGGCGTGTCGAACAGGTAGTTGACGCCCATCTCCACGTCGCCGGCGTCCCCCGGAATGATGCGCAGGTTGTTGATGACGTCCAGGCGGTCCGGGGTAGAGTTGGAGGTCTTGGCGGAGGCGCCGGGCACGCCGGGCAGGGCGAGCTGTGGACACACAGGAACGGTCAAGACGAGAGCCCAGACATGCATTGCGCAGAACGGCGGAAAAATCTCCGGTACCTTATTTTAATTAGATTTTTGAGGTCATACCATGATGAAATATGCACACTTCTTGGTTCCGTGTCCCAATATACCCGTACCCCACCTTCCCTCACACATGATTTCAGGATTTCACATGATTTTATGGATTTTAACGGATTTTCATTGATCTCATTAAGAATTTCGGTGATTTCAGTATGATTTGCACTGATTTCAGTTAGATTTCCATTGATTCCCGATGATTTCAAGTGAATTCAGATGAATTCAAGAGATTTCAAATGATTTCAAGTGAATTCTTACCACCAATTTTGCAGGTTTCAATGTGATGTTTTTTTAGTTATCTCAAATGGATTTAACGCGATTTCTTTTGAATTTGGACGAATTCAAGGTGGCTTCCAATGAATTCGGAGGAACCATGAGATTTCAGTGAATTCCGGTGATTTCCAAATGATTTCGAGGGCATGTACATACACCTGAATTCCAGAGTTGTGGGCCCCTCGGCGGCTACTCACGTTGATGTAGCAGATCTCCTTGGTGTTGACGGGGAACAGCTGCGCGCCCGGGCGGAACTGGGGGTTGGTGGACTCGTAGTGCACGTCCAGGACGCGGGGCCGGAACTGGGTCAGCCGCCCCCACGTGAGCCCCTCCTCGGAGCACTGCGACGAGCGGCCGAAGCAGAAGCACGCCTGGCAGCCGTCCGGGTCGTCGGCGCGCAGGCTGAAGGTGCCCGGGCGGCAGGCGTCGCAGCGCGGCCCGGCCGCGTTCGGCTTGCAGCTGCACTGGCCGGTGGGGCTGCAGCCGCACACCCCCGCCGCGTCGCAGGTCGCCCGGTCCGCGCCGCGGGCGTCGCAGCGGCAGCTGCGGCAGCTGGGGTAGCCGTAGTAGCCGTGCGCGCAGGTGTCGCAGCGCGGCCCAGCGAAGCCCCTCCTGCACGAGCACTGGCCCGTGCCCGCGTCGCACTGGGACGCGTACGAGCCGGCCGGGTCGCAGGCGCACGGCTGGAACGGGAGAGGAGCAGGGCGGTTGTCGGTGAGCACGGCCCGAGTCGGGGTCAAGAGGTCAGAAGGCCCAGCTGCTACCAAGCTGCTGAGGTACCTACCTTGCAGCCCTTGACGGAGCGGAAGCCCCAGGAGTTCATCTCGCACACCTCACACTCGTCGCCGAACGTGAGCGGCGGGCACACGCAGTGCCCCGTGTCCGGGTCGCAGACGTGGCCGGGCTTGTCGCACGGGTCGCACTCTGCGCAGAGACGAGTCAGTTATTCAACGAAAGGAAGTCAAAGGTTTTCAGAATAGTGATGGATCTTCTTGGGCGGGGAGCGCTCACCTCTGCAGCCGTTCGGCGAGAAGCCCACGTAGCCGGGCAGGCACGAGTCACAGGTCCTGCCGCCGATGCCGGGCAGGCACGCGCACTGCCCGGAGACCGGGTCGCACGACGAGTTGTGCGCGCCGAGCGGGTCGCAGGCGCACGCCTGGCAGCCCAGCCCCGAGTCCAGGCCCCAGAAGCCATGCTGAACAACAGGATATTAATTAAATGGCAGGCCAGGTGGTGTGGTTTTCAGCCCGACGTTTTTATTGTTATTTATTACAACCACAACAAAGATTATATCGCAAGAAGAAGTACCAATTCACATAAGGTCAGCAATTTTACCGAAAAAATTGAAAGTTTCCCCGATAAAAATGGAAAAATTGAATCTTTCCCAGAAAAAAAGGAAAAAACAAAAACATGAAATTTCTTCGGAAAAGATGCTTCAAAAATTTCCCCAAACCCACTTTTCCTGCAAATTCAAACTGCTGGACTCACCTTGCAGGCGTCGCACGCGCGCCCCACCACGTGGGGCCTGCACTCGCACCGGCCCGTCACGATGTCGCACGCGGCGTGCAGCGCGCCCGAGGGGTGGCAGCCGCATCCTGGACACAACAGAGCAAGAGCGGCATCGTTAATCAGCTATCGGCATCACCATCGGGTCGCCGGCGGCGGGGACCGGGCCGGCCGAGCGGGGGGCAGCCTCCCTCCCTCCCC